AGGATAACTAGTCAGGACTTGATGTGGTAATAACAGAAGGATACACCAGTACAGGACTTGATGTGATGTTACTGCCAGATAACTATCAGAACGTAATAACAGAAGGATACACCAGTACAGGACTTGATGTGATGTTACTGCGAGATAACTATCAGAACGTAATAACAGAAGGATACACCAGTACAGGACTTGATGTGGTAATAACAGAAGGATACACCAGTACAGGACTTGATGTGGTAATAACAGAAGGATACACCAGTACAGGACTTGATGTGATGTTACTGCGCGATAACTATCACGTAATAACAGAAGGATACACCAGTACAGGACTTGATGTGATGTTACTGCGCGATAACTATCAGAACGTAATAACAGAAGGATACACCAGTACAGGACTTGATGTGATGTTACTGCGCGATAACTATCAGAACGTAATAACAGAAGGATACACCAAAACAGGACTTGATGTGGTAATAACAGAAGGATACACCAGTACAGGACTTGATGTGGTAATAACAGAAGGATACACCAGTACAGGACTTGATGTGGTAATAACAGAAGGATACACCAGTACAGGACTTGATGTGGTAATAACAGAAGGATACACCAGTACAGGACTTGATGTGGTAATAACAGAAGGATACACCAGTACAGGACTTGATGTGGTAATAACAGAAGGATACACCAGAACAGGACTTGATGTGGTAATAACAGAAGGATACACCAGTACAGGACTTGATGTAGTAATAACAGAAGGATACACCAGAACAGGACTTGATGTGATGTTACTGCGAGATAACTATCCGAACGTAATAACAGAAGGATACACCAGTACAGGACTTGATGTGATGTTACTGCGAGATAACTATCAGAACGTAATAACAGAAGGATACACCAGTACAGGACTTGATGTGATGTTACTGCGAGATAACTATCAGAACGTAATAACAGAAGGATACACTAGAACAGGACTTGATGTAGTAATAACAGAAGGACACACCAGAACAGGACTTGATGTGATGTTACTGCGAGATAACTATCAGAACGTAATAACAGAAGGATACACCAGTACAGGACTTGATGTGATGTTACTGCGAGATAACTATCAGAACGTAATAACAGAAAGATACACTAGAACAGGACTTGATGTGGTAATAACAGAAGGATACACCAGAACAGGACTTGATGTGGTAATAACAGAAGGATACACCAGTACAGGACTTGATGTGGTGAGTAGGTAATAACAGAAGGATACACCAGAACAGGACAGGACTTGATAACTATCCGAACGTAATAACAGAAGGATACACCAGAACAGGACTTGATGTGGTAATAACAGAAGGATACACCAGTACAGGACTTGATGTGGTAATAACAGAAGGATACACCAAAACAGGACTTGATGTAGTAATAACAGAAGGACACACCAGAACAGGACTTGATGTGATGTTACTGCGCGATAACTATCAGAACGTAATAACAGAAGGATACACCAGTACAGGACTTGATGTGGTAATAACAGAAGGATACACCAGAACAGGACTTGATGTAGTAATAACAGAAGGATACACCAGTACAGGACTTGATGTGATGTTACTGCGGATAACTATCAGAACGTAATAACAGAAGGATAGACACACAGAAGAAGGATACACAGGGACTTGATGTGATGTTACTGCGCGATAACTATCAGAACGTAATAACAGAAAGATACACTAGAACAGGACTTGATGTGATGTTACTGCGAGATAACTATCAGAACGTAATAACAGAAAGACACACTAGAACAGGACTTGATGTGATGTTACTGCGAGATAACTATCAGAACGTAATAACAGAAGGATACACCAGAACAGGACTTGATGTGATGTTACTGCGAGATAACTATCAGAACGTAATAACAGAAGGATACACCAGAACAGGACTTGATGTGATGTTACTGCGAGATAACTATCCGAATAACAGAAGGATACACCAGAACAGGACTTGATGTGATGTTACTGCGAGATAACTATCCGAACGTAATAACAGAAGGATACACCAGAACAGGACTTGATGTGATGTTACTGCGAGATAACTATCCGAACGTAATAACAGAAGGATACACTAGAACAGGACTTGATGTGGTAATAACAGAAGGATACACTAGAACAGGACTTGATGTGGTAATAACAGAAGGATACACTAGAACAGGACTTGATGTGATGTTACTGCGAGATAACTATCAGAACGTAATACACCACTAGAACAGGACTTGATGTGATGTTACTGCTAGATAACTAAAAGAACCTAATAACAGAAGGATACACTAGAACAGGACTTGATGTGGTAATAACAGAAGGATACACCAGTACAGGACTTGATGTGGTTACATAACAGAAGAAAGATACTAGAACAGGACTTGATGTGGTAATAAGAGAAGGATACACTAGAACAGGACTTGATGTGGTAATAACAGAAGGATACACTAGAACAGGACTTGATGTGGTAATAACAGAAGGAAAAGATAGGCCACCACAAGACTTGTAGTGATGTTACTAAGATTGTTGAATCTGTCAACTTTTCAACCCTATTTAATCAAATCAATAAATTTTGTTTTTCTGTTGTATCAACCCTAAATACATATTGTTGGCAATTTTCTTAATTGTTGATTTACAACACGTTTATTTTATTTTTTTCAGATATGTTGACCTCGTGTTATGGAATTTGAGTTTAGATTATGATTATGTTGATATGGTGGTCATTCTTTTCTTGTGTATTGCACATGCAACTGACTGACACACTTCTATGGTTTTGAAGTTTGAGACAACTTAATAAAAGGGATATTTTATCTTATTTTATTTCAGGATTTCTGTCCATTTCTAATGAAAGTACCATGCTCATTTCCTTACTTTGAATACCATGCTCTTATACAACCAATACCGCTAAAGTGTCTTCGTGATCAGTTTCTCTTCATTTGAGTGTTTGTTGTCCTCTATCACGTATAATGTCTTACTTAACTAGCTGGTACCATAACTTCGCTTTCAGTTGTCTGTCTGTAGCATAAGAAGCCAGAAGAAGCCAGACTCAAAATACGAACCTCTGGTAATTTCAACACCTCTTACAAGGTATCGCCTAATCCTCTTTTGTCGTCCTTTTAAGCTATTTCGACAGGGTTTTTGCTTAAAATATAACGTGTCCATCGAACGAGCCGAGATGGCCAGCTCAGCATCACACGGACGTTTGTTTGTGCCGGCCTGATTCGTGTTTCGTGAACTGAGGAGCTCCGGACTCTTTCAGCTCGTCGCCCCTGGAGAGACGGGATTTGGATATGTGACATTTGACTTTTGTGTATTTGTATTTTGTGTGTTGTCTCTTGAGTCGCGTGGAGTACGTAAGTATGAGGTGCAGCACGTGAGTATGGGATTCTGATAGCGAGTGAGCTGAGAAATTGTCAGCTTGCCAGGCTTTGCGCTAGTTAATTTTTGCGATTACTGTAAGTTCCATATTGCTATTGTATGAGCGCGTAGCTAATACCATATTCTATTTTTCTGATCTTTCTAATTATTTTACTGCTACAGCTAACGTCTCCGTTATTAACATCAAACACGACTATAGACAATTGACAACTACATACATTTATCGGCTACTTTTGTCTTGTTATGTGTGTATTCGTGTATTTTTGTTTTATGTGTATATTTTGTTCAATGTTGTTTGTATAGAATTCAGTGTTAGCCTTGTAGGATAGGATAGGTTATATCGTAGATTTGGTTTCATTTTGATTATTGCAGATTTTGGTTCTTTAATCTTAATTTTCCTTTTTCTGATCAATATAGGATTTCAGGTACATGCAGGCATCTGTGTTCCAGTGTCCTGTAGCCAGATCCAGGGTTGACTATTATTTTCAGCATTTGGCAGTACATTCTTACAGAATTTCACAAGTACAGATTGTGCGGGTACGTGAGGGTGAGTACTAACCCTATCTGAGTTTATTGCATTTGGTTGGTTTTTTTTTCAGCTATATGCGTTATAAATGAATTCAAAGTTGGAAAAGTATATCAATAAGCCCATTGAATGTAGATATGCTACTTTAGTCAGTAAACCAATCATTATAACATCAAGTAAAGGGTTTTCATTGCGCAGGAATTTAGATATTGCAAAAAAAATTAGGTATAGATCTTGAGATTATTTCAAAAGCTGGTGCTAGATTTGCTGATTATTTACCGTGGCTGCGTAAGAATATCCCAGTGCTTGTTGGTCTTCACAACCATATTACTCTGTACGTTTGGCTTGGTACCTGTGATTTGACTGTCAAGCGAGGACCTTTCATTGAGTTGCGTCATGTGACCTGTGAAAGTGCCCATTCCTATTTAGTGCATTACATTACAAGTTTTAGGAAATTCATTTCTTCTTTTTCCTCGGTTAGTTTGATTTTTGTGGAAATTCCTCCCTATTCCATAATAGAGTGGAACCGATCCAAAGGTCATACTGATCCTGAGTCGTTTAAGAGTCAGGAAGCCAGTCTTAGGGAAAAGTTGTGTTTTTTGAATGATTTCCTAAAGTCTGTAAACTATGACTTGGGAGTTACCTCTCCTTCTTTAAGGGTTGACCTACTTCGTTATAGGAAAGCCAAAAATCAGGAAAACTACAGGGTTTCGGTTAATTTGAAATTGTATAAAGATGGAATTCACCCAGGAGCTATTCTAGCACGCTGCTGGTTGAAAAAAAATTGTTGTATCCATTTTGGCTGTGTGTGTGTAACCACTTACATACAGTTTACACCTATATATGTGTAGTTGCTATTTTTAGGTACATATTTTGCTAGGTGGTGTCATGTACTGCGTCACTCAATGCTGGTACCCGATACCGAGTGCCTTGTAGGTAGGGGAACTTCCCAATCACTTGGTTAACTCGAGTCATCATTTGCTAGTTTTGAGTGTAGGTATATTGCCATTGTATATATATTTTATAGTGGATAAATTTTACTTGTATATTTTATATAAGTTGTACTTTGATCTGTTATGGCTTCTAAAGCTACGCCAGGTGACCTAGATAATGAACCCAGCACCAGTGACCTACACAATATATCTCAGGCAGAGATGGAAATGATCAAGGTCCTGAGTGCCACGGGTAAATTCAATATAACACCCAAAAAGGAAAAACTTCCAGGTTTTGGGGAGGGTTTCATTAAGACGAGTACTCCTCATGTTGGTAGGTTTGAGGATGAATATGAGGCCGACCGTGGACAGCTTAGCTATCAGGCTAGTCGCAGGTCTCATCATGATAGTTTGTTGGTTAAGGCCCCAGAAGTACCCAAGATACCTCCATTTTCTGGAGAAGAGCCTCCTATTAAAGGAGACGTGACCTATAGGGAATGGCGTTTTGAGGTGCAGTGCCTCACAGATGACCCAGACATTTCAGATAGTGTTTTGGCTCAGTCCATTCGTAGGTCGTTGCGTGGTACAGCGCGACGAATGCTTATGTCATTAGGGAATAGTCCAGATTTGACATTAGTCCTCTCCAAATTGGATAATTTATTTGGAGACATCAGTACAAATGGCATGATTATGCAAGAATTTTTTAATTCTTGTCAAAAACCAGATGAGTCAGTCACAGATTTTGGCTGTCGTCTGGAGTCAATGCTACATGTAGCTGTTGAGCATGGCTATTTGGATAGGTATTCAAAGAGCGAGTTGCTACGGCATAAGTTTTGGACTTCGTTGTCTTCGGATAGATTAAAGAGTCAGACTAGGCATAAGTATGACACTATTAAAGATTTTGACCTGTTGCTTAGGGAAATTAGAAGAGTGGAGAAAGAGTTGAGCTTACAAGATACAGCTAGTGGCTCTAATAACATCAAACCTTCTACAACTTCTTCTTCGAAGGTAAAGGCCCGACAGCAGTCGGTTACCACTGAGTCGGTGTCTGATGGTCAATCACTAGAACAGAGGTTTCAGTCCTTGGAAAAGGATATGAAGGCACAAATGCAGCTGGTTTTGAACAAGCTTGATAGTTTAGGGAAAAGTTCAAGTGACGATGGTAAGAAAGGGAATAGTTTCAAAAAGAAGGGTTACTACGGTAACAACTCTAAGGGTCAAGGTCAAGGTCAACAACAAGGTCAAGGTCAAAAACAGGGCCAAGGTCAAAAGAAAGGTCAAGGTGAAAATAAGAGCCAAGGTCAGGGTAAAAACCCAAAAGAGTAGGGGTCTCTACGGGTGGCCGCGTAGTGACCTCAGATGCTAGTGTTAAAGGCCAAGTCAATTTAATTGATAGACTAGTAGGTGTCTCAAATGAGAGCACTATTTATCTGGACAAAAAGGAGTTCAGGGCACTAATAGATAGTGGATCTATGGTAACTACTATATCACAGAAAGGGTTTGAGTCCTTAAAACCTCAACCAGAACTTCACAGTTTGGAGTCATTGGGACTTGAAGTCTCTGTGGCTGATGGTTCAAGATTAAAGTATCTTGGTTATATTGAGTGTACTTTTACTCTACCTTTTTGTGACAATTTCAATATGCCCGTTCCAGTGCTTGTGGTTCCAAATACTGAGCACAATGGAAATTGTCCTGTTATAGTAGGAACAAATGTAATAAAGCAGTGTAAGAACCTGGTTGATGAAGGATTATGTGAAAGTATTCCTTCAGCATGGCAACTGGCCATGGACAGTATCCACTGTGATCAATTTGTGGTCAAGTCCATAAACAGGAAACCTATTAGGGTACAACCCTTTGAGTCAGTGGTTGTTGATGGTTTAGTTAGGGGTTTTGATCCCGCAATTAACCAGGTTGTTACTGAGAACTTATCTCTGGACAATCTTAATTATACTGTTTATCCTAGAGTGGTTAATATGAACCAAAGTTCAAGTGTCGCTAGACTTCATGTTAAGATCTGCAATATAACCGCCAAGGCTATATCGATCAGACCTAGATCTGATTTATGTAAAGTCCAGAGTGTACAAATAGTAGATAACCTAGCATCGGATGTAAAGAGTGTTGTCCCTCAATCACAACCTGAGGAGTTGGGTGTAGTTATTGATAGAGACAATTTGAGTACTGACCAGCTAACTGAAGTCAGTCAGACTCTCAGTAACTGGAGTCATGTGTTCTCAAAGAACCCAAGTGACTTAGGAAGTACCAGTATTACCAAACATAGGATTGAGTTGTTTGATGAAAAACCTTTTAAGCAACCATATCGTAGAGTTCCACCTGCTATGTTTGAGGAGGTACGCCAACATGTTAAGGACATGTTAGACATTGGCGTTATACGGGAATCAAATAGCCCCTTTTCCTCGAACATAGTATTAGTGCGAAAGAAAGACGGTTCGCTTAGGTTCTGTATCGATTACAGAATGTTGAACTCTCGTACCAAGAAAGACGCCTATATGCTCCCTAGGTTTGATGATGTTATAGACACGTTGAGTGGGTCTAAGTATTTTTCAAAACTAGACCTGAGGTCAGGATACTGGCAAGTGGAGATGGAGGAGGAGGATAAGCATAAGACTGCCTTCTCTGTGGGAAATCTCGGGTTCTATGAGTGTAATAGAATGGGATTTGGACTCACTAATGCTCCTGCTACATTTCAAAGATTAATGGAGAAATGCATGGGTGACTTGAATCTCAGAGAATGTCTGGTCTTCATTGACGACATACTCATTTTCTCCAAAACCTTTGATGAACACTTACGCAGGTTACAATCAGTCTTTGCTAAGTTAGAGGAGCATAACTTGAAACTAAAACCATACAAGTGTGAGTTATTCAAGACCTCCGTATCCTACCTAGGGCATATAGTGTCAGAAAAGGGGATCAGTACAGATCCTGATAAAATCTCAGTTGTAGAGAATTGGCCTGAACCCAAAAACATCAAGGAGCTTCGACAGTTCCTAGGGTTTGTTGGATACTACCGAAGGTTTGTAAAGGACTATGCTAAGATAGTTCAACCTCTCAACTCTTTGTTGAAAGGTCATGGCACTACGAAGAAAGCCAAGGAAAACCTTCGCACAAAAGTAACAGTTCCAGCTAAGTGGACCTGGGATGAAGCACAGCAGGAAGCATTTGACACCATTAAGAGCAAAATGGTTAGTCCCCCAGTGCTGGGCTATGCTGATTACTCCCAACCATTTGTGGTGCATACAGATGCATGTGGGTCTGGCTTAGGTGCTGTTCTTTATCAAGTCCAACAGGGTCAAAAAGTTGTTATAGCATACGCTAGCCGTGGGCTTAGACCTAGCGAAAAGAATTATCCTGCTCACAAGCTTGAATTCTTGGCTCTCAAATGGGCGGTCACGGATAAATTTCATGACTATCTGTATGGTACGTCATTTGAAGTGATCACCGATAACAATCCTTTAACTTACGTCCTCACAACGGCAAAGTTAGATGCCACGAGCCACCGTTGGGTAGCTGCTCTGGCAGCGTATGATTTCACAATCTCCTATAGATCGGGGAAGTTGAATACTGATGCTGATAGTTTGTCGCGTCAACCACAACTATTCTCAGATGCTGTAAAGGCAATTTGTCAGTCAGCCTTGGTCTCGGTACCGTTGATTGCCTCAGTGTCAGTTGAGGCCACTCCTCCTTCGGCCGGGGAGGTTGTGGGTTCAGGCACAGAGGTTGGTAAAGTTGATTGGGCTTTGGAGCAGAGGAAAGATCCTGCTCTAGCTAGACTTTGTACTTTATTCAGTAGCGACCTTTTCCCAGGGGGAGAAGTGGCAAAGAATGAGCCGCCTGAGGTACGCAAGTATCTCAGGGAACGCCGGCGCATCTCTTTGGACCAAGGTGTTCTTTTTAGGACAGCTACTGTGGATGGTACTCAGGTCAAGCAGTTGTTGGTACCACCAGCATACAGAGCCCAGGCCTTGAAGGGGGTCCACGATGACGTGGGTCACCAGGGTAAGGACCGAACGCTTTGGTTGGCTAGACAGCGCTTTTACTGGCCTGGTCTAGAGAAAGATGTGGTAGATAGAGTAGAACAGTGTGGGCGGTGTGTTAGGAGGAAGACCCCGGTGAGACGAGCTGCAGGCTTAGTTCCTATTCTCACAATCCGGCCATTGGAGTTAGTGTGTATAGATTTCCTCAGTTTGGAGAAGTCCAAAGGGGGGTATGAAAACATACTGGTAATAGTGGACCACTTTACACGTTATGCGCAAGCAGTACCGTGTCGTAATCAGTCCGCTCATACCACAGCTAAAGCTTTATACGAGGAATTCATTGTTCATTATGGGTTTCCCGAAAAGCTTCATAGCGACCAGGGCCGCAACTTTGAGAGTAAACTGGTGAAGGAACTATGTAAGCTTGCTGGTGTCAAGAAAACCAGAACTACTCCGTATCACCCAATGGGGAATGGGTCTGCCGAGAGATTCAATCAGACTCTGTTAGACATGCTCGCCACACTGGTCGAGGAGAAAAAAACAGATTGGAAGTCATATGTCCCATCCATGGTTCATGCTTACAATGCTACCAAGAGTGACTCCACCGGTTACTCCCCTCATTTCCTGATGTTTGGGTGGCATCCTAGGCTGGCTGTAGATGCTTTCCTCGGCATCGGTGCAGGTAGTACTGGGGATGGTAACCATGACACCTATGTCCACAAACTGGGAAGAAAACTTGAGTATTCATACCATGCTGCGGCAAAGGAAGCTGGCAGAAAAGCCGACAAAAACAAGGCTAGGTATGATACACGAGTTCGGGAGTGTACCATAGAGGTAGGTGACAAGGTCCTCGTCAGGCAAGTGGGTTTCCAAGGGAAACACAAGCTAGCTGACAGGTGGGAGCATGATCCATATAGGGTGGTGACCATTATAGACGACGAGATCCCTGTCTACAAGGTGCGTAGGGAGAAGGGAACTGGCCCTCTTCGTACCCTGCACCGGAATATGTTGTTGCCATTCACTGCACTACCTACCGATGAACTAGAGGAGCAGGTGAGCCGCAAAGCCCCCACAGCTCCAGCCACTCGGTCAAAGAGGGTGAGCAAGCCTTGTTCTGACTCTGACTCAGACTCAGGTTCCAGTAGTTCACAGGATAGTTGCAGTGGGCGATATGTTATTCCCCAGCGTCGTAGGCAGGAGTTATCTCCCATACGTGATCATGGCACTTTGGGAGGGTCCGGGAGCTCAAATAGATCAGGAGGCTCCAGGTCAGTATCCGGAGTTGTGGAGATGCCCAGAACAATCTCTCCGATATCGCATAGGGAGTACCGAGGTTCGGAGTCCGTATTGCGGGAGGCTCCAGGGAGCCTGGAGCAGGAAGTCCGTCCGGAAAGAGCTCGGAAACCCCCGGACAGATACGGGGATTGGGTTATGTCTCAACTTGTCAGGGAGGGACCCACCAAAGATGAAATTTATGTTTGAACTATATCCGGGTTTGGTTTTAACTAGGTTATTCATTTTAAATGTGTATTGTTTGCACGTGAATTAGTATTTGTATACTGTTGAGGATATAAGAGAGGGCAAAGTGCCCTGGTACATGGTGCAAAGCACCAGGGTTGTATAGGTGGTACTAAAAATTATCAATTGGAATTTTACTTCCAGCAGGTATCAAAGGCTGATTTTATTCCCAGCAGAGCGGTATTTTATGTTTTTTTACTCACTCTTGGTGGAGATTGAGATTTGGTACTGTGGTTATTTATGTATTTAAAATACTAATCTGTGAGATCTGTTTTTGTTGCAGTGCTGCAATGTACATATACTGATTTGTTTTATTTTCAGAATTTTGTATACATAGTTTGGTTCTATTGTAGGCAGACCATGTTCCAGGTTGCTGCCGTAGGAATGGGTGATTAATCAAAAGTAGGTTTGATGCTTATGCATTATATCTTAAGTATATTGAAAAATGTGGGACACATTTTCCCCAAGGGGGGAGTATGTAACCCATGTGTCCACATGTGGTATTTTAATAACAATGTAGCATAGATGCATACTCAGGTATCATATTGTAAATGTCCTTGTTACTGTTTTGTGAATGTGCACGTGACGTTACTAAGTATATGTACACGTGACATGTTGTTTACGTCTCATGTATTGTCCAGTGGAATGTGTGGTATGTGGCCGAACTAGTCCGACGTGACATGGACTTCAACGTGAACGCAACTCAGCACTTCTAACACCTGCATTTGTACTGCATGCTAATTGCGTTCTCCACACCTGTTTACGTCACTTCCTTTGGTTTTCTTTCTATCTGTCTCTCTCTGTCCTGGCACTCTA